AATTCCAGTACAATCAATAGTTTTGAATACAATCCCGCCACTTGTGGCCCATAGCGATGTGGTCGATCTGCGTCCGTCTCTGACTCGAGGAGAGCGGACGCCGGGAGGCGTACCGGCAGTTAGCGCGCCTGAAGTTCGCACTGGTGAGGAATAGGCGGTGGTCGGAACACAGCCAACAACCATTCTCCGTTCTCCAAGCGACAGGAATCTGGTCCAAAAGGACCTTCCAGATGCGCCACACTCGAAGTCAGCCGACCTACTCTAGCATTCATATCTCCTGTTAAAATCACAGTAAAGTACACAGTAAGTGAGAATGTGAGTTAGGCAGGGAGTGGTCTTGTTTTGGTGGGGAAGGAGAAAAGTGAACCCCTATGGTGAATGCAGAGTAAACAATGTAACTGTGCATGCAAATCTCATCGATTATTGTCGTCTGATATGACGTCATAACAAGAACAGTAGTGTCAGTTCGTTGAATATTCTTCAGCAGCCCCCAAATCGATTCGTGCATTCTTTCAATCCTCGTCACCTCTCGATCTACATGAGATTTTACCCGACCTGGAGCAGCAACACCGGATAAGGTATGGTACAGTGGACGACAGCTGGACATGTGTAATAGGGGTCCGGGCCATTGAAAACTGCCAATGTGAATTTGATGTAGTAACGAGCCATTCACCGAGTCCATCCCAAATGCTCGCTGACATACCTGCTCGCTCCTTTCAACTTGTCAACACCGAGTCGAAGACTTTTAGCTGAATAATGTCTTCCATAACCAAACTCACGGCCTTTCAGCCATAAAGTGTATCTGTCCGCACAGTGGCGTAGTCCACCTTTTAGTTCAAGAAAAAATCATACTGGCGCCAAAAAGGCTTCAGTCTTGGGCCCTGGGCGATTATCTTCTTTTATACGCTTCTATTATGTCAGGCAAACAATTAGGTAGGAGAAGCGATCTACATCTGATTATTCCTGACCATCAAGCATTACAGTAGGAGCAGACAAAACCGGGTCTTACAGCAATGCCTTGCACTCTGAAGGCGCACAGTACATGCCAAACGGACTGAGGGAGCTAGTTAGTCCGCCAAGTGTGTTTCGTGTATCCTTAATAAATTTGAACTGGCAAATGATTTCGTCAATGCACTGTAAATCACAGTTTTTCTCCAACTGTCCATTCAATATCACTTTACCAGTATTTCGACTACGACGAAAAATTCTCGAGCTGCGTGTTGACACCTCCTCCAGCTTTGCACTCTTCTCAGACAAAAGACCTCAAACAAAACGGCTACGCGAACGTGCAAGGTTAATGGTTAATGAAAAGCCTCAGTATGGTCGGGCGGTGGGTGTTTAGGGTTGTGGTTGGTCACTTTTCCCTTGCACCTCGCGAAATGCTCCCATATGACCAAGCGTCTCAAATAGCCTCTACTGAGAAAGCCCTACCAAGAACCTTCTCGTGGCGGTGTTTTACCACCAAAGTGAGAGGATGAAAAGTCAACATCCGGGGCAAAAACTGGGTTTATACTTTTTTAATTTCAACACGTAACCAATTGCATAGAACTGGCAAATATGCCACAACATATGAACAAAACATCTGTGTTCATGGGGTGTGTGAGGATGTTACTTCCCGGTTTCCCTGGCCGAGGAAGGAAGATAATTTCGGAGTCCTCATCCGAAGCTTTTGGTTAGAAAGCCAAACCTGCAAGACAGCAGGACGGAGCTCAGAGTCCGCAGTCCATTGGGGATAGGTGTCCAGTTCATTGAATCATACGCCCTTTGGATGGGGTCAAACGTCCAAGGTGTTCAATAAACCTTGATGCCCAATCGAGCCGGTGACTACTGCCACAAACAGGTGTGAATTTGGTTAACACGCCCCTTCTGGGTTGGTTTGGAATCAGGGTTTTTAGTCAACTCCCCTAAGTGAGCTGCCAATGGTTCACCGACCCGGTTATAGCTCCGGATGTTGGGTTTTCGTGCTCTAATTGTGGTGGAAAAACACCGTCACGAGAAGGCAGTGAATAGGACTTCCTCAGTAGAGACTAGTTGAGACGCTTGGTCATTTAGGAGCATTTCACGATGTGTAAGGGAATGGTGACCAGTCACAACCGGAGACAGCCACCCCAACCATACTGAGGTTTTTCGAGGTATAACCGGGTTGGTGAACCAGTAGCAGTTCACCCAGGGTAGCTGGCTAAACGTTCTGATTCCAAACCAACCAAGAGGAGGTGTACGAACTACGCTTACCCACACTGTTGTGACCTCGTCCAAAATGTGCATGATTCGGTGAAATGGACACCGGCTCCTAATGGATTACGGGTTTCGCACACCGCCCCACTGCCTTGCGGGTCAGGCTTTGGCTGGCCAAAGGCTCCGGTTGTGAATTCCCCAGGGAGCTTCACCTGCTTTGGCCCGGGAAACCTGGCAGTATTCCATCCACATGCAAATCAGGGAAATGTTTTTCGTTTTATAAAAATTATTGTACCGTAATTTGTTTGGCATACAGTCCTGACTCAGACGTGATATGTATATAGAGAGTTGTCTCCATTAAATTTTTAGAAGCTACAATTTAAATCCGCATTACGTTTGTGAACTAAGGTATCAGTCTTTATATTCGTACGCTCTGGTAGTTTCAAACCTCAAAATTAAATATCCTTATATGTGCTAAGCATTGTTTTTCCTATAGTGCTCACATAAACCACTCGTATAAAGCAAGATTACACAATTCTGCGGCGTTTATGTGATTATCGCTTGTTTTTCACCCCAATTGATGTAGTAGTCTCTACGCCTATTGACGAGCAAATTGAACAAACACTTAGTTTTCCAGGTAAATTCTTCAAGATAACACTTATTGGTTGCATCCTCTTGTTTTATTGAAAATCCCACTCAAGAATATATTCTAATTTGGGCGATATTATCTTTTCCGTGGACATGTAAAAAAAATAGTGCTCGGTACTTTGATCTCAAAGAAACAACCTAAGAAAATGTACTGCCTGACCTGTACTCTAAAGTCAGATGTGTAAGATTACCTTAATCAGTGGTTCGTGTAGTGTAAATGTTTCAGTTTATTTTTATTTAACCTATTGTATAGCAACTGTTCAAATTTAATGTGATGGTTTTGGGAGACCGTTTCTGACTGAAATGTGAGCCCAAGCCAACAATTTACACAATTATAAGTAGAGGTGCCTACAACACGGGTTTCCCACATTGGTACACAACTATTTCCGTGGATTTCTGACAGGATTGACAACGATTGGTCTCAAAAGGACTGTAACATTTGAGGCAGAATAAATAGGAATCGTTCACTATCATTCAGTTGGTCCCATATTTCATATCTTTCTTTAGGTACACGACCAAAGATTGACACTTCAGATGACGCAAGATCATTCGAAATCAACCTTAAAAGCGCCGACAACAATAAATCAATCGTGTTGATTACTCTCCTATACATGCTACATGCACTTACCAACTCCTGCGGACTTGTTGTGCAAAGTTTATTCTGTTTCGGTGGATAATTAGACACTTGAAACAAATCAGCAAACTGAGCAAGGTGCAGTAGACTGAGGAGCTGAAGTTATTTGACACTCAAACGGTCGCTAGAACGACGGCAATCAGTCAGCCCATTGACATTCGAGTCTAGCCGGAATGCCCTCAAAATATTCATCTATTTGTGCTAAATGGATTGCAGCGAAGAACGGATGATAAAAGTGAAAACCTCGAATCAAAGTAACATAGCATGCGGCGCTTTACATAAGGGGAAATAACAAATGTAACCAATCAAAGAAAATGGAGGACTAAGCAATGCCAATTACTCACATTTTCGATTATATACAATTGAATTTTTCCTGAGTTGACCACATAAAGGTATTCATCTGGATCCCCGATACGAAACAAAAATTCGTCCTTCTCGAGGTGAACAGCTTCGATAAATTTGCAGAAATCGATAAAGAGTGACTTCTCCAAATGCCCGAAAACACGAATAGAACTTATCATCAATTTGAGGTCATCTGGAAATGTTGAATCTTCTTCTTCATCTGGCTCGAAAAACGACTCTGGAAGTCTATATCTGTCGAGAGTAGTTGCGTTCATTTCGTCCGGAATGTTAAGAATCCTAGTTAAAAAAATAGCAAACACTTTTCCAAACTATACCTCTTGACGAAAGCAACAATAAGCAACCTTCGGTCTTCCTGTGATTTGATTTTACTCAACTTTTCGGTCACTTCAGAAAATCGACGACCAAATCTTGAAGCATAATAACGCAGTTTGTCACGTTTTCGAAATCGGGGTGCAGTATGAATCAATTTTGTTTTCTGAACGACTACAAATCGTTGAAGTTGACAAAGATAAAAAAGCGTGAAATACCTTCATTTTTCACGTGACGAAAGACCAAAAATAGTGACATTAGCGCTAAGGTTACTGTCAGAAAGACAAGAAGAGCGACATTCTGAGAAAACATTTTTATACTAAACATGAAGAACGTACATGAGGTATGGCAAGACTGGGGAATAGTCTAACTAATATGCTATCCCCAATATAGCCGATCACACTTCTATAAACTGTGGTTGCGATATTTTCACCGGTGTAGTAAACTTTTGGGAATATCATGAAAGCTTCTCCAACGTAGGACGTCATTTCTGGAAACGAGTTGCAAAGCGGTGGGGTCGAGCCGCGCGCGAACGAAGGCTCACTGAACTCTCACGATTTGGAGCACTAAAACAAAACCTTGAGTGCGCAAAAAACAGACCTAGTTTTGAAATTCAATAAAGCTAAACAAGTTAGGATTACTTAATATGTAGAAGTATGTACCGGGCAGAATTTCGTTCCACGGAACCTGCTTTGAATCTGGTTGCGTGTACTGGTAATAATGGGTTAAGAAAGTGTACACAGCTACCTGGTCAGCTTGTGACACAGACCAGAACGGAGGGGATACAGTGAAAAT